GTTCTTTACCGCCATGTGACCAGTCGAGTTCTTTACCGCCATGTGGCACGCGTCTTTGAATGGGCTTTACTTGATTTAATCGACGTGTAAGGTATAATTATAAGTAATAGCATAGTTGCCCGGGTTTCTTTTGTTTCAACAGGGACGTTTAATCACGCATCGCCCGCTGTAGCGGGCGATTAGTTCTAATCGCCCGTTGGAAAGGGTCACACCCTTTGTCTCCCTGCAAGCTGCTCCATTTACTGTTCGGAGTACTCTGGATTTTCGGAACACTAATGGAATGGAACAGAAGAGAGTCACATATTGTTCTGAACTGTTGTGACTACCTCGATTTTCGAGTAGAGGCAGCCAGAACAGACACGTGACACTGCCCATTTTCACGCGATTGTAAATGGAGGTGACATATTTTGCGTATCCAATGCACACTGTATAGAGCGTTATTTTGAAGGGTTAATTAACCGGTATATTTCGACATATACTTATTATATGCTATTTGAAATCCAGGGTTGGGCAAATTCAACGAGTAAAAACGTTGCAAAAGCATACTTAGATGTATAAATAACGGCGAATCATTATACGCTTTACTATGCCAATAACTAATTAAAATAGTAATGCATGGTTGCACGCATATATAATAAACTAAACACTGTTCCAGAACACCGGTACCGTGTTCACTCCATTTTATATCGTTCCAGAACCTCTCTCCTCCGCAGAGGTTTCAATGAGCTTTACATGGCGCTTTACATGACGCTTACCGTATTGAACCGCTGTGTGGAAGACGCGCAGGCGAAAAAAGCACAAAGCCAAACCTCTGCCAGAAGTCGGTCGAAAAAGTGCTAAATTGGTCGAAAAAGTGCTATAACTTGAATAACTCTAAATTTTTTTGAGCACTGAATTGACACGAAATTTTCAGCGAAGGTGTATATAAGAAGGACGCTCAAAACAGTGTTAAAATATTAGTGTTCTCCATGTGATTTGAAGACTTTAAACTGTTTTCAATTATCTGTGCCCTGTTCGGGGGGAGGCGTATATGCTTATCAAACCGAGCTTAAGATGCACCAAATCTACGACGCGGACGTGAAGAAAAACTGTAACTATTCCCACAGTTTCATGACACGGATAAAAATTATGGCCTCCAGTTGATAAACAAAGTCAGAGACACACTAGTGAAGCAAAATAAAACTGGATTCCAAACATTTGCAACGGTTTTTATGCCGCTCACGTCCGCGTCGTAGATTTGGTACATCTTAAGCTCGCTATAGCAAGTATGGAGAATTCAGAAGACACATTCGAAGAGTCAGTATTGAACGTATCATTTGATGAGCTTTCCATTGAAGGTTAGTGTCAAAGAAGTTATATCTTTTCAATTAAAAACTTTGTATAGGTATTATAGTCATTATATTATGATAGTACTGTGTCTGAGTGTCTGTGTTTAGTATAAATAATTAAATTCTCTTATTCACGCCTTGTTATTTGTATATATTATTTCTCAATTTTCCATTGATAATTATACTTTTAAATCAGTAGCTGTAACTATATTTAAAGAATTTGAGTTCTTTACAGCACAATTATAAATTTGAGACAAGTTAATAAGTAATTTGTACTGTAAATTTTGTAAATGGAAATGCAAAATTGATGGCGTCTAGTATGGAAATGAGGCATATATGTCAGAAATATCATGTCATCTATGATTTATATTTCAATTGGTAAACAATAGTTTGTTGATTATATCAAATAGGATTCAATTTTTATAAAAATCTGCCTGTATCTGGCTACCCTGATTTACAATTATGCAAATTTTTACTTATAGATAGTCAAGCAGATGTTGTATTTCAAGCAGGTAATTGTAAACATCAACTAAGCCCATCCAAAGCTGAACATGAACAACAACCTGAGCGGTTAATCGCCTGATATTGGAAAGCTTTTGGGGATTGTTAAAAGTTTCAGTTGCAACCAAGTCCTACAGTAGTTCTACTCCTTTTTTAACCGTTGTTTCTTCGCTGAAATCAGATCGCCGATGACACGATCTGTAATGGACATAAAGTCCATTTTTTACATGTAAAAGTATTTCGATTTTGACATGATTCTGTAAAACAAGCATGACAACACGTTTTCCCATTCCTCCATTCTAACAATAACGCCTTTCCAAAACAAGAGTGTTTTAGGTCAAGTTTTTCTACTAAATTTGCGTCGTCCATAGATTTAGTAAACACTTTTTACAGTTTTGAGAATAACAAAATAACAATTACATGTAACAATAACAATTAACAAATTTCTCACAAACTCCTCCCCCCCCCCGTATTTTGAACTATTGGGCGTGACTTCTGGCAGAGGTTTCCCGCTTCTTCGACAACACTAGAGAGTTTGGCAAATACAAGGGCAACGGCAACGGCAATATGGTCATCAACAATAGCATTAATCCTCAAAGACAAAGACAAATGTAAATTACATGGTCTTAAGCGTTGTGCAATACCGTAGTTGTTGAAACTAGTACGTGATTTGCATCATTTTCACGGTCCATAACTACGGCAACGGTTAATTCGTTCGATGTTATTTGAGGTGTTTTATTTGAATTCGCGGACTATTTTTACTTAAGGGTACGTTTGAAAGAAACAGGAATACTTAAAGAGGCAAATTAAGTGTAGTAACGTATACTTTGGCTCAAATACAACAATATAAGCAATTATATTTTTCCCGTTGCCGTTATCGTTGCCGTTCTAGGTTGCCAAACTCTCTCGGCTGAAACCTCTGCGTACGAGAGAGTTCCAGAACAGTGTTCCAAATGTTCTCAGAGCCGTCAATAGTCTATCATCCGATCCCTGAGTTGTTGCATCATCCAAACTACGCACGTGCAGTCTCCGATTTTATACTAATATATTTAGCGTTTTTGTTGTGTTACGTTAAATGATAGATTGCGCATGCGTAACCGATTAAAGCGTAAAAAGTGCTCATTTACATCCCACAAGCAAAGAACCAAATGTTTTAGCTTAAATTCGCCGATTGCAAGTAGGGCATGTTTGTCCATTTTTAAATGGGAGCGCAACTATGCTATTACAAACTAATAGCATGGCTTTTCGGGAGATTAGTGATTAAATGACCCCTTACCCTCGGCAGGTTTGCGGAATTCGCTCGGGCTTCGCCCTCGGGGATTCCGCAAACCTGCCTCGGGTTACGTGACCATTTAATCACTAATCTCCCTCAAGCCATGCTATTACTTATAATAAGCCAACATTTCTTTGTAATGCAAGCTACATTTTCATATCTTTAATTAATGTGTGAATATTTTTAATTTTGTAAAAAAATAAGCGCAATATGTTGTTGGAGAAAGTATCGAGTGCTTCATAATAACGCTCAGATCTTGTATACAAATATTCGTATTTTATTCAAAATCAACCCTTTATCACCACTTTTTTATTCTTTTATGTTAAAGTATACATATATCCTTGACTTAAAAACACGATGATCTACTCGAGGAAAATTGGGCAAAGGGGCGATCTTTGCAGAGAAACTTGCCCGTTCCGTGAAATTGGTAGTTTAGAGACCCTATTTTCATTGTACTATTTCGTGGAAATTTGTTGGCCGATTTCCAGCTTATATTGTAGAACGGCTTCCTAGTGAATTAAGCGCGACTCATTTTTGTTGACAGATGTTGAATTCATTTTAGACTTTTGTTCATAAACAACAACTACACTACCGAGTACAAAATCACTGTTTGCAAAGAAATGGCCTATATCACCACAAAAACTCAAGTTTATTTTTAGAGTCAAATAGTTTCTCCATGGATGAAAGTAGTTTTTATGGAGTGCAAAATAGGGCAAGTACGAGTTTAAAGAAGGTCAATTTGCACTTGCATATCTCACTTCGAAAAGAATATACATATTAAAAACAAGTATATTTGCACTGCGAAATTAAACTGCTGCAACAAAGTTTTTATTCCTACTTTCACGTTCTTGTTCCAAAGCAAACACTTCTAAGTTGGAAATACCTAAAATTGTGAGCGTAGAAACACTAAAGAAACAAGAAAACGACTTCATAACACGAGTAGTTTTGGCAAATTTGATGTTTGTTTTTATAATTCAGTCACGCGATTAACCCGCGCTCACGTGCACTTACGTTTCTCGCACATGTGTAGACGAAAGACCACCCTGTTCCCAGTATACATGCAGGCACCATAATGATTTGGTCGTGTTTCCACATTTCGTTTTCGTATTTCCACAGCATGACGTCAAAGCCGATATGACATGTCACTCCCATGAATATGATTTTTTCATATCCAATGTTATGACGTCAATACGTAAACAATATGCCAATAATCCATATTTTGTCGGCTATTGAGTTGATATCACGATTTCACAGTAGGCTGCATGTTAGCCAGTTAGAAACCCATGAATCTTTGCTAATTGAGGTAAATAATAATAAATTAAACAGTTACTGCACGAAGTTTTTGTGATATTCAGAATTATAATGGTTGAGATAAGTGCTATCAGTCGAGGCGAGGCGAGATTGACATCACGTTCGGGGACCTTGATAATTCGGGATTCACAAAACAAAATTCAATAACTGTCTTATTATACATTGCATTTTAATTAATAACTCTTTCGACACACAATGATTTGTCGAACAAATTAACGTTTGGTTCTCAAAAAACAGTGAAAAACGATTTAAAATATCACATTAACAACATAAAAATATTAGAAACCTCATTAACCTACTATATAAAGTTCCAGTAAGGTTGTCAAAAATATCCGTTTCTTGTACAAAAAAATTTACAAAAACGCCGCTGAACCAAATCCTAACTCAGTTACGTTCTAGCCAGATAGCTGTTATGCAGATACTATGTACAACTGCCCAATCTGAAGACACGCGTATAGTAACTAGCTAGAATGTATATTAATATTAGTTATCTGTTCTTTCTTTATTTCCCTAGCTGAACTTGTTTAAATTTGTCTCGCAACTAATGAAGTATTTTTATTTATTACCCAGGGTCCAGTTTCGCAGTGATGATGAATGAGAGTTGGGAGGACATCAAAGCAATGGAATATGAGAACCAGGTTGAATTAATTATAACAAAGAAAATTATACTTATTTTTGTCGCCATTTTTACCATTTTGGACAATACCATGGTTCTGGCTGCTACATGGAGAGAAAGGAGTTTTCATCAACCAAATAAATATTTTATTGCTTGTCTCGCTGTCGCTGATCTTTTGGTTGGTATGTTTGTAGCCCCACTGGAGCTGTTTCAACTAAATCTCGATTATAAATCAAGAGGGATAATGTTCACCTATCTATGTCGTTTTATGATGTGGATAGATACATTCGCGTTAACAGCCTCTATTTCTTCACTGACATTCATCAGTTTCAACCGATATCTAAAAATTAGGAAGCCCCTTCAGTACAGATCCACAATGACAACTTCCAAATCATTAAAAATGATCTTTATCATTTGGTTCATTTCAACTGCTTTTGCCACCTACAGCGCCACTCCATGTTCAGGAAACGAGGGAATCCGGCTGGTAGATGCATATGGTTTATGTCCTAGGATCTATCAGGTTTATTGGAGAAGTAAAGGATTCTTTACTTTTCTGGCAGTAGGTGTGTTTTTTCTACCCACCGTAGTCATACTGATTATGTATTCTCTCATTTATGTTGTTGTTCGTAAACGACGAAAGATGATGCGAGATGGCGAACAGGGTCAAACCTGCATTGATCGAAACCAACTAAATGTCTTTCGTCAAGATCTGAAGGCTATACGAATGTTGTTGATTGTCGTGGGAGTCTTTGTGCTTTGTTGGGGTCCTTATTTTATTTATACATTGTATGCGTTCCAAAATCTCTTTCTTATTGATTGGCCTAGCAGGCGTTATACGTTCATAGCTGAATTCGTAATACACACACTTCCTTATATTAACAGTCTGTGCAATCCAATAATTTATGCCTGTTTCGATCAAACGTACAGACAGGCTTTCAAAAATCTGTTTCGCCGAATGATGCGCCGAACAAGCTCAAGAGTACGACGACCACCAAACGAAATAGAGTTACGTCCATGAGGAAAAGAAAAAACAACATTTCATTAATTTGAGAATACCAGATTGTGCGCGTAAGGACGCTCCCTATAGTTCTTTGCATTATAGCGCACAAATACCGCCAATTATTTCCTCTCTTTGCAAGATGAGTTCGCGAAACTTGCACTGAAGATAGCCTGAACACTGCGGAATACGAAAAACAAAAAATGTTGTCAAATATTCTTGTTGTCATGGTAACAAGATAATTTCAAAAAGATCATATTTTAATTTCCTTCGACCAAACTTTTCTATTGTCTGCACATATGAAGGTAATGTATAGGGACTTCAAATAAGAACTTTTTAAAGTGCTTATGTCACAAAAATTTTGTTTTGATTTTTGAGTAGAGGACAAAAGGTTAGTTAATAAGTTCTTTAACATTTTTTGATATTTTGGAGATATGAGGCTCTAAACAGCGATTTTCGTGAAAATGTCGCGTATCAACAAGAGTCTGGGACGGACCTGGTGTGACGTACATTAAGCATTCTCGTACCCAGAGCCCTTCTTACGCGTGGTGCGACGAGGGGCTCTGGCCAAATCCATAACCGGATACCATAAAAACATGGTAAGAAAACAATGTCCGGTGTTAGAACTAACCAATCAGATGCCAGTTCGGAATATGGATTTGGCCAGAGCCCCTCGTCGCACCGCGCGTAAGAAGGGCTCTGGGTACGAGAATGGTAGCTTAAGGAACTTAATCAAGACGGGCATTATACATTTCCCTACATTTTGTATGTTTTCCAGCACTCATGGTTCTCAATGTGACTCAGAATACAATTATATTCCTGGGTATATTATAGAGGATGAATAAAATGATACCAATCACGAAATTGGAACTCTAGAAACAGTTGATAGCGAAATTTTAGGCGATTATGATGCGCTGCCTTTATGCCGATGAACCGCAAGCGAGCGAAGAAATATGCTACACGCAATATCTAAAAATATGCGGAAAACAAGGAACAAATCAACAAAATGAGATGCTACAGCAATAATTAGATATTAAGATATTAAGTCATGGTAAACATAGCTGATTTATTTTAACATTTTAACGTAAAATAAGTAACTCTGGCTGATATATTTTGGATACGGCATCAGTCACATCAAACTTTACCTGTATCGTATTTTACAAGTGTAAATGCGGCTATTGTGTTATAACACATATACAAAATACACACGAATTAAGCTTGGTGATGTAAGGAGATGAAATCTTGTAGGAAAGTTCCGAAGGGTAACTTGGTTTTAGAAGATTTGCCACAGCCGCCGTGCTGTATCACTCTAAACTCAGGATTCAGACCTATTTGTTTGGAAAAATGGGCTCTAAGAACACTCGTGAGAAAATAAAATCGTTCGTATTAGGCCTAAATGAACGTGATTACAGATACTGTACGTTATTTGTTCTGCACCAGTTTGTTTATATCTTCTTTGATCGCATGCCTTGTATTATATTTTCTCACGAAGGTGAGGGAAGTGTGATTTTAACTCTTTGATGTGACTGATACTGTATCCAAAATTTATCAGTCAGAGATACTTATTTTACGTTAAAATGTTAAATCATGCTCATGCACCGTGCATGATTTAATATCTTCAAGGCCGACTATAATCTTTGCTGTAGCATCTGGTTTTGTTCCTTGTCAGGGTTCCGCATATTTTTTAGATATCGCGCTTAGCATTCTTCGCTTGCTAGTGGTTCATCGGCATAATTCCCTAAAGACATGCATCATAATCGCCTAAAATTTCGCTATCAACTGCTTCTAGAGTTCCAGTTTCGTGACTAGTGTCATTTTATTCATCCTCTATAATATACCCAGGAATATCATTGTATACACCCTTTTCATAAATGGCTGCGGATTAAAAATTATTTTATGTGCATATAAATTGGCCCAACTAGCCTCGCTTCTGGGTAGAAATTCCTTTGAAATCTTAACATGAGTAGGAGGCTAGTTGGGCCACTTTATATGCACATAAAAGAATTTTTAATCGGCAGCCATTTATGAAAAGGGTGTATTCTGAGTCACATTGACTAGAACCATGAATGCTGGAAAACATACAAAAAATGAACAAATTAATGTATAATGCGCGTCGTGATTAAGTTCCTTAAGCTACGTCACACCATGCTTGTCCCAGACTCTTGTTGATACGCGACATTTTACTCACATTTTTACGAAAATCGCTGTTTAGAGCCTCGTACAAGGCGAAAACTTCGGTATTACGGCTGGGGAGGTGCATGTGAGTTGTTTTGTCCGATCAATAGGGAGTACCCGACGGACAAAAAAAATTTTCCGGACAACTCCCCGAAAACTTTTTAGGGAAAAATTTTTCCGGACGAATACGTTTAATTCCTTTTTCTATAAAAATTTTTTGGTAATTTGCCCCCAAACACAAATTTGTCAGAAATATTTTCCAGTTTATCAAAATTTTCCCCACAACTATTACTTTTCGATAAATTATGTAAATGTTTTGCTCAATTCCTTTTTTTTGCCCGACAAGCGTGTCGTTGGAAATGTTAAACTTGCCCGACGAAACTACAATATTACAATATTGGGGGGGGGGTCACACCCCCATACACCCTCCCCCCCACTAGTTTCGGCCCTGGCGTCATATCTCGCGAATGAAAAGAGAAAGAACCTATTACCTAACTTTCTGTCCTTTACTTAAAAGTCAAAAAAAATTTTGTGACATAAGCACTTAGAGAGAATTAATTTAATTAATTTTCGAAAACTCGTATTTTTAAAAGAGACGCATTTTATGATTGATGCTGACAGTATATTTTAAAACGTTTTCACGGAAGGAAACGCAAGAAATATACTACGGTTAATTTTAGTGCATAACGTCAGAGAGATCAGGATTTAAATTTTCCCACGGTACTATTCCCACACGTAGACATAATATTTTGTATACTTTCTGTCCGTACTACACGCGCGTGCATTTTTATTCATTTTCACTTGCTGACTTCCACAATATTTGTGATTTTTTTGTGATTATTGAGAACAGAAAATACAGTACATTTGAACTGACGGGGAGAATAGAAAAACTATTTTGTACTTATTGCGAAAATCAGTATAAAACTATTCAAAACTGTTATGCTAAAGTTATGTATCAAATTTTATAGATCATTTTTAAAATTCACTAAAAATTCATAAAGAAAAGGCAAAGGAAATCACTGCCATGTCGATGGTTGTATGTCTGATAAAAATATCATTGTAAATTTTAGCTTTGATTTCCTCGGCTTAGATAGCCTGCATGGCAGGCGGTCTAAAATACCGCCTGCTGGGTTTGGCAGTGTAATTTGATAACCGCCCACTTTTTTGTCCGAGTCCAATTAGCCAATCAGCAAACACTAAATATATTTATAATCAAACTGTCAAACTATGTTGTTGTTTGGTCGCAAAATTGCAAATGTATAAAAATATGTCGACAAGAGGTAGAAAAGCAAGCGCGGAAAATGTAAATGACTTGTCGTTTGTTTAAGTGTGCTTTGAAATTAAAATACGGGGCAATACGCCAATAGAGAAAATATCTTATATTCGTATATATCGTTGGAGAAATTATTTATTTAAGGCAAGCAAAAGAAACGTTACGACAGTGGTAAAACCTTGGCCGAAATAAGCCGAATTGCCGGTTCAGTTCATTTAGGAATCGAAGTTAATTCTACCTCGGAACTATCCGACCAAGTTTGTAAACCGTGTGAGTGAAATATCCGAAATGCAAGCGAACTGATTGCCATAATCAAACGAGACATAAACGCGTTGCCTGTGTACGTTCGAACAAATGGACAGTTGTATATTAAAAACCTCAGTTGCCAATATGAACTGTCTCGTCTCCCTAACGAAGCCGTGTGGTAACGAAAGTTCAGAAAGTGAAGCGGCTTTTAATAGGCATAGGTGTAATAGTCCTGTTATAAAACCCGTTGCAAGAAAGTCTATACGGCCGTCTGTATCTGGTCTCGTTATATTTTCTCGCGCCAACAAGAACGATGTAAAAATCAAGCTTTTACCATAGAATGGCCAAAACATTCTTTCCAAAGAGTATATCTTTAACTGCTATCTCTTAGTGCTCGCGTTTGACAATCAGTTCGCGTTTCGACTTTCGAGAAGCGTTCAGTTCTACAACACCTATTAATTAAAGCGAACGCATCCATCATTAAAGTGTCAAACGTATGTTTACATATTAAAGTGCATTCACTTTTGAGTGACAGCGGCTCAGACTCGCAGCCAAACATCAATTCCCGTCCACTGGTGGACGGGGAATTCGATTACACTGCCGAACCCAGCAGGCGGTATTTCCCAGGCTTGCCCAATTTTAGGAACCGCCTGCCATGCAGGCTACGGCTTAGACAACGCAGTTGATTTTTAAAATTACTTCGCCAATAAACTCATAAGATGGCGGGGTCGTTTTCTAAACCACTTTTACCACCGGCTACGAAGCCGTGCTTTATCAGATATAAAACTCTTGGCTGTCGCCTCGTGTTTCATATCTGATAAAGCACTTCTGCTCGTGTTTTCAATCGTACCTTGCTGAAATGAAAACGAGGCAAACAAGGCACGAACAATACAAAATAGCCGAGGTAATCCCAAACAAACTATGATATAACATTAATAATATCATGATTGCGGGTATTACCTTTGTTCTCGCAGGGCAATTAAAAACTAATACACCTCATTATACTCATATTTTCTAATCCTACCCGCTTTTACGTCATGTCAGGTAGAATTAGTTCTAATCCTACCCGAAACGACGTCAAAGCGGGTACGATTAGAAAAAATGAATATAAATGAGATATCTGAAATCGCCAAAACTAAACAAAGACATGGAAAACAATTATACCATTTAATTTATACCATTATTTATTGTATAATTGGTTTTTAATGGCCCTGCGTAAACAACGGGAATACCCGCAATGACCCTCATCGAGCGGCGCCCAAGGCAATTATACTAAACGACCCTCATCGGGCGGGACGTTTTAATAGCTAATTCGCTTCTTTTTATG